ATCATTTTATTTTACTTTCTGTTTCAATATGACATAATTCATTTCTATCGCACTCAACAAAGCCTAAGCCAATCTCTTCAAAACAGTAGTGTGATTTTCAATACCACAACTCATTGTTTGTTATTTATTCGAACAAACGATATTCCATGAATATTGAAGTTTCTCATTCCCAAAACCGATTATTCATTATTTGTTCAATGCCTCAAACAACTCGGCGTTATAAGCCAAATATGATCATCGAACGGTGAAAATTTGACTGAAATGAACGGCTTTTAATTTTAAGTAATCCACAAATTACGACGCTCTTGAATCGGAATCGGACAACAAATCTGCATCAAAAATTAATCTTATAGGTGCATCTGCTTGTGTACTCTACCAAATGAAGGTTCATTCGAGACCAGCAATGTGAACTCAGTTCGATACTTATCGTCTTTACAAAGGCAAAAATCACTCGCTCCGAACGCATCCGTTCGTTTCGGCAGCATGTCTAAACCGATTATGTCAAACGAAAAGAAGAGGAGTGGATCCGAAAGGATCTCAAGAAATGGACTGTATGCTACGAAATTGTTTCGAGAATCGCCGTGCTCCATGTCACTGCACGATAGACGAAGCGATGACAAACGACCACTCACGTTCAGCAACAACGGTACTGTGCCAAGCGAAGTGCCACGCAACGAAGTCATCAAATGATCCAAATGAAAATTAGCTCAACTCAACGTCAGCACATAATATTTGTTCTTGTATGTTGTATGCGTTTCCTCAGACGTCGACAATTTGGGTAGTAGTCGGTAATGTTCAGGGCGACAATCGCACATACCCATACAGCGATCACGCAAACGACTCATTCATTATTCGTATGGAATATTTTCAAATGCATATCGCAGCGCCGATCGATTAAAGGAAACATTGAATTCGTAGACTATTCTGTGTACAGAATAAAATATTTTGTCTGCTTAATAAATATGAGTGTACAGAACTGATCTTACGCAAAAGAATAAACGTCAATAAATACACATGTCATTCAAAACAGCTTTTTAGATTTTTTGGTTCAGCACTTCATTTTAGTTTCAGTCAGTTAGTTTGTCAGTTTACATTCTCAAGAACGACTGAAATCATCTTCCTTTTCAAAAAACACACACAAATGACGTACTCACTCGCAAAATACCAATATCAATTACTGGTCAGCTCCTTTCTGTTAATGCATTATATTCCGATCAGGAAAGAGGTTCTCTAGCTATTTAGGATCCTCTTAGTGGTAATGAATTAATGCAATGGTTTAAAAAAATAAACAAAGCAGCAACATTTCACATTCATATTCATCCAATCTACGGTCTACTTGAACGTGTTTGCTGCATTAGGAATGAAAACATATTTGGCTACTGTCAAAAGACAATCATAGTGAAGTGAGATGCTTCTAGAAAAGCGGTTACTTCTCTAAAGGTAAGCAAAGTTGCTCGACAACACATGTGTGGTTTTCTGGAAACGCAGAATGTGGAAATCTTATGAAATGAAGAAATCACCATTTCACTTGGCAAACCTGAGGGTTTGGTAGGCTCGAAATGGTATTAAGAAAATAGCTATATCTCCTCAATAGAGCAGAGAATTCCCAGCAAAATATATGATATTCCGAATTTGGAGGT